AAGGTAATAAGTGTAACTTAAATTCATACTTTTCAGCATTTGATTCATCTAAAACAAACAGGCTGCTATTAAATATTGACTATTTTATTAACTAAGAGCATCTGGGAAAACACTTATGATTAGGTTAATTTATGTTATGTTTTTTCCTCAACTTGTAAAAGATTAATCAACCATTTTATGGTCTAATTTAGGTGCCTAATTAAAAACAGAGTTCAACACATGCTACACTATCTTGCTAATAAATCTTGACAGCTTTGTAACATGACGGTTCGTATTTCAAATTGTTGCATATAAATGCACAATTCTGATCTTCACCCAGGAGCTTGCAGTGAGTTACATACTTGGTTTAAGCTCCAGGGCTGAGAAAGTACAATTACTTCAAAAAGGATTATCCCCAATCAGATCTTACCTCAAATTTCCTTTAGTGAAGGCAGAAAGTCTTTGTCATCAAGTTTTTAGAAATAGAATAGAAAAGTAAGTGAGAAATTAGATTTCTCAGCATTTATTAAATTAAAAATGCAGGAAAAGTTGCTATGTTCAGCTACTACCTTTCAGAAGAAATGATTTTCTGAAGTTACTGGGTTTTAAAATCTAATTCTAAAAATAGCTACTCAAAGTTTTAGTTCCAATTGTCTTCTGGTTGAATGTCTTCGGTCTTGACCTGGGGCACTGTACCTCTTTTAAATGAATAAGTTCATTGCAAGAGGTTTTGGAATATCTCTTTTTACTCTTAGTCCTCCACATGTCCCAGACTTAAATGGGGGTAAATGGAAGAGAATAAATCTATTCTCCGAAGGGACGTTGGCTATTTTCTCAGCCTTTATACTTGAAGTATATTTTTGTCATTCTAATGACTCCTTTGAGTTTAACTGTCCAGTTCAGGTGGAGAAGCGAAACTGCCACAGTGATGTAATCCTCACTCTAGTCATAAGCCAACTTTGGTGATAGGGACTGGCCTGTTCTGGAGCTGCTCGCCTTTTACAGTGAATGGCAGTGAGCAACCACACTGAGGTCACTGGGGTGCCACAGAAAACTCAAGCTCTTTTAAAGCAAACCCAGTTTTGAACTCTTCATATACGACCACCAGCATGCTTTTGGTTATTTAAGTGAAGAAGCACGGGACAGACTGACCTCTGCAGCAGCACTGCTTGCATTAGTGTGACCCCTTAGCTTTGCCACTTTCTAACTGAGACATCTTAGGCAAGCTCCTGGCCCTCTCTGTGCCTGTGTTTTTTCATTTATAAAAGTACCTACTTCACAGCATTGTAATAAGGATTATATTTGCTAATCCTATAAAATTTGAAACAGTACTTGGCACATAGGGAAAACATTCAAGAATGTGAGCTACCAACATTATTAAAATACACACACACTATATTTTCTTTTTGATGTGGCCACAGAATTAGAGTGTCAGCTTATTTTTGTATAACTAGAAATGGAAAGCAGAGTCAAGGTTGGGAAGGAGTTTCTGCCCTGTAACTCTAAGGCATATTTCAGTAATAATAGTAATAATAATGGTAATAGTAATGATAATAAAAAACAATAATCACTCCATTTGGCCAACTTAATTCCCAAACTGAGGTCATCAAAATTTGTGAGAACCTACTGAACTTATGTCAAATCACAAATAAATTTACTAAAGAATAAATCTATTTAAGTTTGATTCAATATTCAGAGCCTAAATGTGCAGGGTGTGTACTTCCTCCGCCCTGGCGTATGCAAGGTTCTCCTGAACCCAGGCTCCCGGGTTCTCTTCACAGCCTGGAACGGAGGGTAAAGGCCAGTCTCACCAAGAGTCCTGATATGTCGTTTCGCGTGCCAAGTATGCGTGCGAGGCCTGATTGAGAGACAGGGCTGGATAATGAACTGGAGAAGCAAATCCAGGAGTCTTAATTCCAGACTAAAACATACTCAGGTTCCAGGGCAAAGGGGGCTCGCGAAACAGGCGCGTTTAATTTTTGCAGTAGATACTGGGGCAGCGAGAAAGCTTCGGCTCTCTGTCCAGTGGCAAGGTCAGCTTCGCGTCGCCACCAAGGTGGGCTCCATTCCACCACAATTTTTCCTGTTCTGGCCAAGTGGAAGGAAGGACAATCAATTTCTGAGACGTGCCGATCCGCCCAGGCCCTGGGCTACTGGTAAGGCCACTGGCAGGACTGCACCAACCGATTAAACCCATTAACGACTCACTCGTACACGGACAAGACCTAGTCCTTCGGATTATGATGCTGACCCTCGGGTTCAACCTTACGTGCCCACAGTCTTTTAATGACTTCAAAATATCTGAATGCTTTCAAGATGTCTCCCCTCTCCAATTTTCTAGTTATGAGGACTTGTTTTAACCACGTGTCTGAACTGCAACCCTCTTTGGTTAATTATTATTTGTGCTCGTCTCCAATCTGCCGTACGGACCCCCGGGGAGATACAACGGAGACGGCACTTCGGGCGAGCACCTGGGCTGGGCCCGCCGGGGTGGACTGTCCGGCGGGGGCAAAGGCTGTTTCCCCGCACCGGGTTTAAGCGAAAGCGGTCGGCTCGAGCACCTCTTGCGGTTTGGTTGTTTAACGTTAGAACGGCCGCTTTCAAAGTAATTGTAAGTCTACACATTTGCTCCGACATCCAAAATATTTTAATTAAGCAGAGGGCATTTAATTTTTTTTCCTTAAAAAAAAAAAATCTAACCTAGCGGCCACGCCGTGTGCTGCTGGAGCAGCTGGGAACGCAAAGTTTGGGCTGAGCTGCGGTGCTCGCGACCCTCGGGGCCGCGGCCCTCGGGCCTCCCAGCCCGAGCAGCCCGGCCCCTCGGTTTAGGGAGGTGCTTCGGGAGACTGAGGAATTTACCGGCTTTTGCGTCCCGACCCCCAAGCCCTGGCGCTGCGGGGACCCGGGGCATCTGTCCCGCCCTGGATCCCGGCTGTGCTCCGCTCTGCAGACGCTCGGTAAGGGTCTCCAGAGCCATTTCGTCCTTTATTCAGCGTTTTTGAGGCAATCAAAAAGGAACGTAGCAGGTGGCGGGCAGCGGGCTAAGAGAGTGCATGAATCTTCCTGTGGGGATTTCCACAGCCTGCCCCAGGGGCTTTAAAAACTGCCTGATGTAGAAGATTTGGTTAGTTCTCTGCCGGTTCCTCCCAGCCCGGCCTCCCGCGCGTCTGGTCTCGGAAAATTCCGGGCTGCCTCCGGTGGGTCCCACCGAGACGGGAGCGAGTGGCCGCCTGCCACCGGAGCCCCGGGATCCGCATCCCAAGAGGAGACGGAGCGGTGACCGTAGAAGTAATGACAATACGATCGATGAAAATAGCTTACAATCCGAGAGGTCCCACGTGCTCGCCAGGCACCTGCCCGCTCCGGCGCACTCCCGCCGTCCCGCCCAGCGGAGAACCACGCAAAGCCGCAGCACCGAGGAGAGCGGAGAGGCTCGGCGCGACTTAGCGACCTGCCAGAGTCGGGACTGCAAACCCCCATTTTTAGCTGCTGGTGTCCACAGCCCGGGAACGGTGGGAAGGGTGACTGTCACGGCGGGCTAAACCTCGAGACTTGGGCACTGCTAACAATAAAAACACCAAGAGCAAAACGGAGGGGGTGGCTGGGAAGAGAGCGTTTTTAATCCGCTGGGTCAGCGCTGTCTCCCCCCCACCCCCTTATCTTATATCTTCTTCAGAGGCCAAAAGAGGGAACGGGGGCAGTGAGTGAAGTTCGGTTCCACTCTCCCCTTCGGTTTTCCGAAGTCTACAACCTCTTGGAAGCTTACAGGGCTTGGAGGGGTACCCGGGGAGTCCATTGATTCATACTAGGAATGACTAGGGCGCGGGGAGGGGGGGGACAGGGAGGATGACCAGTTAGAAGGGATGGGGGCCGGAGGCCGGGCCCCTGGTTGAAGACGAGGTTTCTGAAGGCTGGAGCCTGGACCCTAGGCTCACCCGCGCCTCACCGGAAGCCCAGTCAACCCAACCGCTCAAGCCAAAGACAGGCAGCTTCTGGAAGCTTTGGGCGGAGGTCTTGGTTAAGATCTGAGGGCCGCTGTGCCTTTGGACCCAGACCTCCAAACCGACTGGAGAACGGATTTTCTGGAAGCCTGGATCTCCAGGCAACCCTCAATGGGCCCTCAATATTCTTTGAGCCCCGATGTGTAAAGGGCCCGCAGATACGCGCGTTCCTGTCCTTGTTCTCCCAGACCCAAAGCTGGAGAGAGGGACACCGGCTGGCTGAGCCCAGGGCGCCGGGAAGCCTTCCAAGCCGCGCCGCTCAGGTCGGCTGCAGTGAGCGCTTTTGCCCGACAGGGACCAGCACCGCTCCACAATCCGCTTGCCGCGCACGGCCCACTCCTCCGCCAGGCGGAGGCGCCCGGCCACCCGCCTTGTTCATCCTCCCAGCCCGACCTACTCTCCAGCAAAGCGAATGTGACCCTCTTTGGGTTCGGGTCCAGCAAGAAAGAGAACTGTAACAAAACTAGTGACCAGACTCTCCGGGGCCTGAGCTAGGCACGGTCACTCCCCCCCCACACACACACACACCCCCATCTGGGGAGCAGAAGCTGCCCAGAAGTTGGTCTAGGGCGGAGACTCCGGCCGGCGGAGCGCAAAACAGGCCGGACGCAGAGAGGAATAAAATACGAGCAACCCTGGATTGATTCCTTTGAGACACGCCACGGTTACAGGGTTGAGTGATTGCCTGGAGCGCCATCTCAGACGCTATCCCTCCTTTGCGAAGGCTCTATCGGTTAATTCTGGGGTACTATGGGGCATTGAGCTGCCAGAGCTCCGCGAGCAGTTTCTATGGGTTGCAACAAGAGCCTCCATCCAGACTACTGCACACCGGGTACCGCGCTGGGGAGGGCTTCTCAGTGCCGCGGGCCAGTACCGCGCGTTCCTTCCCTCCGCCCCTTCCCGCCCCCGCTGGTCCGAGACTGTACCCTTGACACTGTCTCAGCATCCGCCTCGTCTCCCTCCTCTCCCGTCAGGGTAGCGGCTGGCGCCTCTGCCCATGGCCCTGGCAGGGAAACTCACCGGTACCAGGCGAGGCCCTTGTCATAGCTGCGGTCGAAGAAGTGGGGCTCGGCGCCCACGGCGCGCACGTCGGGGTGCACTCGCAGGAACTCCAGCAGCGCCCTCGTGCCGCCCTTCTTCACGCCGATGATGATGGCCTGCGGCAGCTGCTTGCTCCCGGACCCACTAAAGAAGCTGGAGATGGGGCTGGGGGAGTTCGGCGCCTCGGGATTCTGCTCCTCTTGGCTCGCTGAGCTCTCGTCTCTCTCCTTGACCGCAGCCAAAGGGGTGACCAGAGCCGCCTGGAACGGTAGCCTAGGGAAAGCCCCGTCCGGACCCGGGGCCAGGGCTGGAGAGGCGTGGACAGTGCGGGACCCCGAGCCCAGCAGCAGCAGCCCAGGCGCCGCGGCGCACGAGCTGGCGCACGAGTACAGAAACATGTAGAGCCAGATACAAAGCATGGCGAAGAGAACAGCGACCTTCCTCCTCACGGGTGGCGGGGACGGCTGCGGCTGCAGCTGCAGCAGAAGCCGGCTGGGGACATGGAGGTAGGATCGGCCACCGCTCAGGCGCTGCCCCATATGCAGCCCGCGGGCGCGGCGAGGGGCATGGCTCAGCACATGGCGCTAGTCCTGCCCGAGCCGCGCACGCGGGGAGGGTTCTTTGGCCCTCCGGTTGGTTGGGTTTATTACACTCGCGCTACAGAGACCGCTGTTGCTGCTCCTGATGCTCTTCCCCAGGTGGTGGCGGCAGCTGTAGCGGCCACGGCTTTTGACATGTTGCCTGGAGGAACCGCAACTGGAATGAAAGTCCTGTGGCGGCAACTGCTGGCCTGGGGGCGGCTCCTGCGGCGCGACGCTGGGCTCTGGACCAGGAGAACCCTGCACTCCCTTGTTCTGTCCACTCCGGACGATGCGTACAGTCGCTGGCCGGGGATGCCTCCTCTCTGCCCTGCGAGCTGAACCCGAGCAGCCCCGGCACCTCCTCGCAGAGGCTGAGAAGGAGAAGTGCGCAGGAAGAGTCTGAGACAGAGGTGGACTGGGCGGGCCCAGCCACTGAGAGTGACAGGTCGCTCCACTTACCAGAAACCCGGACCACCTTGCAAATAATGCCGCTACGCTAAGGGTTCGGCAGCCAACCAGCTCCCGGTTCGAGAGGGTGTGGAAAGGGTTTGGGGCGGAGGAGAGTGATCTGGAGCTGCTATTGGCCCAGGGGTTAAGGGCGGGATCAGAAGGGCTGAGACGGGGGGCTAGTGGCTGGAGCAGATGGAACGAAGGATGCTGGAATGACCCAGGTCTGGAAGAAGACAGATCCCACCGAGTGGTGCAGTTCGGGACCCGCGCGCATTTCCACACTCGCTCCCCCGGAGCCAGCCTTGGCCGTAGTTGTCCTTATGTTCGGACGTGATTCCCCATCCAGCTGTTTCGCGGGCGGGCTCTTGATGTGTGTGTAGAAGTTGGCAGTAGGGAGCGGGTTGGAGTGGCGAGTCAGGGGGGCTGGGCATGCAGTTCCCAAACCAGCGGGGGACTCAGAACGGGGCCTTCCCGGGACAGGCACCGGTTTGGGAAGTTAAAGTAGAAAGCGTGTTTGGAAATCGCTGTGATTGATTGGTTGATTTTGCCCGGAGTTTATTTTTCTTGGTCCGCCGGTTAGCTGGAATAGGGATAAACTGTCCTCAGGAAAAAAAATCTTCCCGTTTCTCCAACTACTGGAGCAAGATGAGGGTAAAGGGGGTGGGGAAATTAACCTGGAGGTAAAGGCTGGTATAAAAAGTTTCTTGATGGAAAAGTGAATGTGAAAGTCTCGTGTAGAAAGTTTTGTCCGGGTGGGAGCTTTTCAAGGAGGTTAAGCTTTAAAAAATGTTCAGCCCTCCCTTTTTCTCAAGTAAATAATAAAGTCAACGTTCGCCTTCATCTAGGAGACAGTTTGGCTTGCTGACCTGTTACACTAATTATTAGGTGTTGGTTTTGCTCATCAATTTTTTTAAGTCAAACTAGGAGCAGATCGATCACCGAGTTGAATTTATTTAACAGTCAAAGTCACTGGAAGCCGCTCCCCCCTCCGCCGCCGCCGGCGTCTCCTGGGAAAGGGACCCCCGCCCAGGCGGGGGCGGGGGCGGGGGCGGGGGCGGAGGAGCTGAGCTGGCGGAGAACTGTAACAGCTCGTCGGGGGAAACGTTGACAGTGGGCGCAGCACCCTGCAGCATTCTGGCCCCGGAGCATGGAATTCGCAGGGTCAGGGTATCCAAGTTCATCCTCGCGGTGTTTAGAAGTTGTAGGTGCCTCCAACCTGGTCCCGGCGTGGTCCACGGGCCTCTGTCGCCTGGCTGCGCGCCCTCCCGGGACGGTACGTTCCTTCCGATTCTCACCCCAGCCCGACAGCCAGAGTTGACCCTCGTTGTCCGCCAGGTGACTCCCAGAAAGCCGCCGCCCACCTTTGCATTTCGCCGTCCGCTCCAGCGGACCCGGCGGAGCCGGACGCGAGAGCCGGAGTCAGTCCGCCGCGCGGCCCCAGGCTAGCTAGCCTCGGGCCTCCAGCGCCGCACACTCTCGCTTCCTTCCTGAGTACATATCAAGTGTCCGAAGTCTCCAAAGCTCTACTCCGGGTGCGGGTCCCCTGCGCCAGGAGGACCCCGAGAAAGCTAGTAATGGTTAGCACCTCGGGTTCGAAAACTTGCGGGAGAGCAGCGGCCACGCCCGGGAAGGTTCGAATCACCTAGCTGTCATTTGAAGGACCGACTTCCCCGGTCTGTGCTCCGGTGCGACCTCTTTCTAACTGCCTTGAGCCCAAGATACTTTCCTACAAAACTGTTGAGGAAGAAATAATCTAGATAAAGGATTTTCCTCCCCCTTTTATATTCCTCCCCCTGAATTTTTTCAGCTTTTCTCTTCCCTTGTTGCTGGGATGTTGCGTTTGTTCTTTGGGAGAAGTAACATCCCTCCCTGTAAGTGTGTGTGTGTGTGTGTGCGCGCGCGCAACTTTTGAAACATGAGAGTATGTTTCTGAACATTAGCCCGGCTCTTTATTTTGGAAATATGAGAGGGGAACGGTAGCATCTCTGAAGAGGGTGTCTTCAAAATCACGTTATTCTGGGGGAAACGAAGTTACTGTCTTCCGTCTTAGGCGTCTAGGACTCTGCTGACTCCTGTGTGTTTGGGGGAGGGCGATTTGTGTGTGTTCAGGAGAATCGAAACTCTTTATGGCTCAATCAGGCCTGGCTGGGTATGAGTCTCACAGTTTTTAAAAAGATTTTTGGCAGTGACCAGAGGAGAGGGAAGGGAATTTAAGGGGGAAAAGGGTGAGGGATTTTGAGGAACAAGTATGAAAGACACAGGGATGAGGACTGGGGGGAGGAAATGGGAGGGAGGTGGGGAGACGGGGCAGGGGGGGCTGGGATGGGAGAAATAGACAAAAAACTGTGCTTGAAAAATAACTAAATAAAATTTTTAAAAAAGATTTTTGGTAATCCTAATAAAAAATGGTCTGTCTTTAGCGTTAGCAAAGTCTTTGCAAAAAGGAAAAAAGGGTAAGCAATTACAAATAGAGGCCGCTGGATATATTTAGGAGTTTTTTCTCCAGGGGAGAGGGGAGGAAAGGAGTGAAGACAAAGACTTAGGCATCAAAAATTGCTCCTAGTGTTCCCCGGAGCCAAGTCCCCTCCTGCGTCCGCTCTGCGAGCCTTCAGCCCCCACCAACGAGGAAAATGGAGGGGTTCTCGGGCTCGCCGCGGCCGGGAGCTTCTGCCGAACCAGGTCGGCGGGTCATCTAGGGTTGGAGCGTTACCCGGCAGAGTGTGAGGCGGCAGTGGAACGGGACCTGGGCCGCCGCCCCCCGCTTCGGCCCTTCAGTCAGCCTGACTGGTCTGCCGGCGGAGCTCTGGAGCCCCGGGTTGAGCCTCGAAGTACCAATGCGCGGCTGACGACGCAGGCTCTGCCCTCTGCAAACATCATCTCCCCCATCGTCCCATTCTTGCAGATGCGGAACCCGAGGCTCAACCCTGTACGGAGCTGGTAGCGACGTTGACCGTGAACCCAGTTTTAGTCTCTGCCCTTAACCACTGTTCAGTAGTAGAGGGTTTCCCGACATGGGAGCCTGGCCATCAGGAAAGCGCCACCATCCAAATTCGGGTCAAGTTTACCTTTGATAAACTTTCAAAATTGTACCTGGAAAAGCTAGAAAGGAGCGGATTTCATTCCAGCACACCTGCAAAGTTTATGTTTTAGTTTGGTTGGTTTGGTTGGGATTCGCTAATGGGATTGCTCACCTGGAGACTTTAAGGGCCCTAATCCGGCAGGCAGCCCCTCTCCTTTAGAAATGGACGGAGCCGCCTCAGTGGATCATTTCCTTTTGCTCTTTCCCCATGTCCTGCTTTCAACAACCCACTGCGTGACCCCAAGCAGGTCAGTCTCTGGCTCAGAAATTCCCCACGTGTGAAGTAGGACACTTGAGCCAAGTAATCCCAGCGGCGTGTTTCACCTGAAGCTTCTGATTACGGGCTCGGGAGGGGAGGCGCCGGCAACTGCTCGCTCCCCCTGCCAGCTTCGCCTGATGACCCGCTGGGTCCCTGGTCCTTGCTCCACCGCTACGCCCTGCTCGATGGCCTCCTTTCCTTGCGTCTACCCGAGCCGGTGGCCGTGTGTTCCTGTTCCAGTCACCAGAACCATATCCTCCACCGCCCACCGCTCACCCCCACCCCTACCCCCACCCCCGCCTCCTTGTCCTGCCGGGATGCCCCGAGGAGGTTCGCTGCAGCAAGCTGGCTGTCCTCCGGCCGCGACTCCGCGCCTGCCCGCAAGGGGGTGCTCCGAGAGCTACAGGGTGGTAGGAGGCTGAGATGGATGGGGGCTGGCAAGGCCTGCGGTTTATCGCAACACACGGGAAATAAGACCATCCACTCCGCTAGCGCTTCCGGGGTGGCTTCCCAACGCCCCGCGCTTCCCGGAATCCCTGTGGCCACCCAAGTCTCTGGGATGTCTAATAGGTCGTGTTATCCCACTCTCCCAGGGTCTAGGGGGCGGGAAGCTACTAGCCAAACACACTGGGGGCTTAGAAATGTCTTGTAAGAATGGCTGGAGAGCTTCCAGCCATTCTTACAAGAGAAAAGAAACGCTTCCCAGCGTTGAGCTCCAGATGCGCCTAGGGGAGTGGTACTCACCAGCCTCAGTTGCGCCCAGGGCACCACGCATGCATATGCAGCATGTCGTTGTAGTGACACTGCGGGCTGTGAGGTGCCTTCTGCAAATCAGAGAGGTGGGGTGATTGCTATTATCTTATAGATAACAGCAGTTTGATGCCCAGTTTGGTTAGCTGACACCAGGCCCAAGGAGTCAAGGTCATATACTGATTCCAAATCCCTTTTCCAGGAGGCATCCCTGCCCTGGGCCAGAGGTTGCTTTGCTCTCAGGAAATGGTGGCAAGACTGAGGGATAAGAATTGTGCCCAGGTTCCCTCCTGGCTGAGTGATCAAAGGCTGCCTGCTACCCTCCCAGAAATATCTTTTCCACCCAGCTTTGCTGCCACCAGGCTCTGCGATGAGTGTCTGCCTCACATCCTCAGGCCTAAGATGGTCAAGATAGCTTGCCTTACAACCAAGGCACTGTGATGCTCCTGAGTGTTCTCTGTCCACTGGCACCTTTGTAAGTAGTTCTTTTATTACATGCACTCCTCAAAGTACCCAGTTGGAGTGTGGCATGTCTGTCCTGCCCAGACCCTGGCATGTGATGCACTAGGGCTGCATGACTTTTCCTAATCTGGTTCCCAACCTGTTACCCACTGTGTGACATTAAACAAGTTGCACAACCTTCCAAGCCTCAGAACCACTGTCTATTGCTGTACTCCTTTCCTATGCATGCCTCTGTTCCTCCACTGTGCTCTCTGGGCAATGGGACTCTTCCAAGGCTAAGCCTGTCTTTAACCTTCCTGGCCTGAGCTGCTGAGTCACTGGAGGAAATCCTGCTACAGAAATGATTGGCCCTGCTTCAATTTTCCAGCACTAACTTCTGATAGACAAATAAAAGCACCCTGCAGCTCCACTAACCGTCTCCAAGAGACCTGCTTTCCC